GTTCAGTTCTAAAAGACTGGACAGCCAGCCAGCCAGCCAGCCAGTCAATTAAGTGACAGTAATAAATTAATCATTCAAGAGTTATTTTAGCTTATTTGGTTATTTATTTGCTACTCTATCATCATGTACACAGTTGTTACCTAATGTCAAAAACAAAAATAATATGTTTAGCATATTCTCATTGAAATTTGTGAAAGGCCATCTCATTCGTAAATGCAATTTATATTTTATCTGTAGTTCATTAATGCATATCTATATTGTCAGAGTCAATATCATCATCATCGTCGCTGGTATTTGAATCACTCCCCATTTCATCGTAGTCTCTCAATAAATTGTACAATAGTTCTTTGCGCATACGTACTGCAGTAGGAATAGCTTCTTTCAGACTAAAGCCTTGGTCTAGTAGATACTCCATAGTTGTCCTTACTCTAAGAAATATAGGATCTTTAAATAATCGTAGAGTGAAGTTTATCTTATTTTCAAATGATTTCTTCAACATTTTACGCATCACATTCACCATATCATCATGGGCTGTTCGCTTAGCATCTTCTCTGGAGTCACCATCAGTCATATGTTCCAACACTTTGCTTTGGTACTTTGGCTGTAACTCATCAATGATAGGACTAACTATGTCTTTCCATATTTCAGATGGCTCGGTGTTGTCATTATGAACATCTCCATCATTCATTTTCCTTCTTTTTAAGGGGTGTTGTAATCTTTCATCACTCGTGTCATCTTCAGCGTCGCTATCATCAGTTTCAATATCATCAGAAATATTCGACTTAATGTTGAACTCCCCGCAGTTGTTACAGCGATTGTTGTCAGGATTTTTTTCACTGCCAAGACCCACTTGTTGAAGAGTTCTACCCTGAGTATCTGACCCATAAACATGGTCTGTGAATGTTGTTCTTTTCTTTGGGATGACCACCCCCTTCTCTTGATGTGCTGATTCTAAATCTAATTTCCCCGGGGGCCTGAATCTCACTTTCATGTTATCATCATCATCAACACCATTCCGCCTTAGTGGTCTGCTGACATCTCTAGCTCCCCCGTTTTGTTCCACCAACTTCGAATTAACTGGACTGTCAATATCACTAGACAAAGTCGGATTGGGCTTTAGCATGTCTTTTTCCTGTGTGGTCGATTTCAAATCTACAAAGAGGCAGCCGTAAGGTTTTTTAGTAGCTTCTCGGAATGCACTTAGAAATACACCGGTTTTCCCTGGAAATATCTGCCTGGCCAATGTTGTGATTTGCAATTTATCTCTGGGGTTGCGAAATAGAATCATGTAGTGTGTATTTAAGCTCATTGTTCGAGCTTCTTTCCCATGGTGGAATGCATTCTGTAAAAGGCAGATGACGCTCAAATTTCTATGATGACTACCTTTGGTGAACAAGTCTGACACGACTTTGCTACTTGATAGATCTGACATCAAATCATCCATGACAATGAGATTAGGTACAGTAACGTCTAGGAAGTCATCCTCTCCTAAATCATCAGGAATACCTTTTAAGAATTCTATGTTTGGAACAGTGTCTATCATTTCTTGATAGGCAGGTTGCCATTGTCCATAGCAATATATTATTCTTTGTGGAGCTGGTGACATGGAAACGGTGCTTTTTTCTAAGAGCCTTTTTACCCATACGGTCTTTCCGCTAGATGTTGGGCCACTGGCAATGAGGGTATACGGATGAATGAGTTTTAGAGCTGAAGATGTGATATTTTGCTCATGCGCCGACATTGCTGAATGTTTATTCTCTCTTAGAGTTGGACCGTCCTGTTTTAAGTACTGTTGTTTTCCTAGGTCAGATAGTCCATGTACAGTTTTTAAATGTCTTAGGAAATTCCAACGTCTTTCGAAACTTTTATTATCTTGAACGCATGTGAACATCTTCGTGTTGAGACATCGGCTTCACTTATTCAACTAATACAAATGTTTATCATGCCTGAATATATATAGATAAGTCTTGATCAGTATCTGTATGGGTGAAATCTTAAGTGATCTGTTTTCTGTCTTCTCTTTCCCATACCAACATTGTAAATAGTCCCATTCCTTGTACTCGAAGGCTTAACAACTGTGATGGCTCCATTGTGGGTCATATGTCCATTTTCATTTTGCTTCCAGACAGGATTGATTCCATTTCCGATTTGGACGATGCGGTCTTCTATCAGCGAATTCCAAGCACGCTTATTTGTTGAGTCTGGAAGGTCGTCAACGAATCCAACTTTGAAACCAATCAATTTACCACTCCTTGAAAACATTTTACTCTCCTCTGGCACCAGATTATAAGTAGACACTTTGAAAAATTTAGACCACTTATCAGGGTCATCCACATACGACTCCAAGATCATGTTGCCTTTCTCTCAATGTTCGATGGAATGACATTATGAGCGTTCTTTTCAGCTAATATACAATTCAATACTTTAAAGGATTAATACTCATGGATCCAACTATGTTCAGTACATATTTATAAACAAATTCGTCATTTCTCTGTCTATCAATGCTGGACAATGTACTCAAAATATCTTCCATCTCGCTACCCTTACAACGCATCATGACATAGTAGAGGCAGTAGTACCCGCAATAAGAACTTGTTGAAACTTGGTATTGTTAGTTGTTGAACCTCAATGTTTTATTTAATCCTTCGATAAAATTGACATACTCTGGTCCGTAATGATATGGACCTTTACCAAAAGAGTCGAAGAATTCAATTTCTTCTCCACTATAGAGCACTGTCCAATGTCTACCTGGGAGTGATGCTTTATCTGAATTTACAATAAAGATTTTCTTATTCACTCCAATTATTCTCGGTAAACGGTCTCTCGCGTACACACCACCATACATGTATTTGGTGCATGGGTGTTTGCATAAAATGGTATCTATAGTAGTTGTCTCCATGGATAAATCATGCAACTATCCTAACATGTCTGTTCACTTGTGCATCTTCAGATGGAATGTAAGTGAACATTTGTATCATGTAACTATAACTCATTTGACTACACATCCTCACTTAACTAATAAGATATTTAAAATGCATTAAGATGACATTGGATGACTATGACATTAGCAAGATGGTCAATTACTCATTCACTCAATTTACTCACCAATGACTCATTTATTCAATTTACTCATTAAAGTTACTCATTTACTCAATTGAGTTACTCATCTGCTCAATTGAGTTAATCCTCTCACCCAGTTATCCATTATAACTTTTACTCGAATGAGTAAATTGAGTAACTCAATTGAGTAAATTAGTAACTCTAATGAGTAAATGGGTAACTGATTTGAATAAATGAGTCATTGGTGAGTAAAATTGAGAGAATGAGTAATTGACTTGCTCGGATGAGTAAATTGAGTAACTCGATTGAGTAAATGAGTCACTCGATTTGAGTAATGAGTAACTCGATTGTGTAAATGAGTCACTCGATTGAGTACATGTATCAGCCTTCACCACTTGAAACACTGGTTATCCATTATAACGTTTGATCGAATGAGTAAATTAGAGTAAATGAGTAACTCAATTGAGTAAACGGGTAACTCTAATGAGTAAATGAGTCACTGGTGAGTAAAATTGAGAGAATGAATAATTGACTTGCTCTGATGAGTAAATTGAGTAACTCGATTGAGTAATTGAGTAACTCGATTGAGTAAATGAGTTACTCGATTGAGTAAATGCATCAGCCTTCACCACTTGAAACAGTGGTCATCCATTGTAACCTTTGCTCGAATGAGTAAATGAGTAACTCTCATGAGTAAATGAGGCACTGGTGAGTAAAATTGAGAGAATGAGTAATTGACTTGCTTGGATGAGGAGTTAAACCTCTAGCCCAGTTATCCATTATAATTTTTACTCGAATGAGTAAATTGAGTAACTCAATTGAGTAAATGAGTAACTCTAATGAGTAAATCGGTAACTCATTTGAATAATTGAGTCATTGGTGAGTAAAATTGAGAGAATGAGTAATTGACTTGCTCGGATGAGTAAATTGAGTAACTCGATTGAGTAAATGAGTCACTTGATTGAGTAATGAGTAACTCGATTGTGTAAATGAGTCACTCGATTGAGTAAATGCATCAGCCAAATTTGATAATCCAGCACTCAATTACTCATTTGAGTTACTCATTAACTCATTCCAGTTAGCCATTTACTCATTCCATAAAGTTTTTTTTATTTGAGTCACTAATGGACTCATTTAATTGAGTAACTCAATACCTCAATTAAGTTGCTCAATTACTCAACTGAGTTACTCTTACTCAATTGAGTTACTCGTTTACTCTACTGAGTTACTCATTTACTCAGTTGAGTTACTCATTTACTTAATTGTCTTACTCATTGACTCTATTGAGTCACTCATTTACATTATTGTGTTACTCATTTGATCAATTTTTCAATTTAGTTACTCATTTACTAATTTGAGTGACTTATATACTCAATAGATTAACTACTCAACTGAGGTATCCATTCACAAAACTGAGTTTGTTCATTTATTCAATTGGGTAACTCATTTACACTATTAAGTTACTCATTTGAGTAAGTCATTTACTTGATATGTTTAACTTACTGTTAAGAATCTTGAGTTAAAATGTAGGTAAATGTCTGGAGTCACGTGACATCATTTGACCAGTCAGATTGCAGCGGGAAATTCAAGAATTGGTATTACTATTGGTGTCATGGTGTAAAAGTTTGATTTAGGAATTTAAACGGAGATGATTGCAATTGTCGTCATTACATATGTATGTTTATTCAAATAATATTCTAAAAAACATGTCTATTGTCTGATACAAAAATGACCTACACACATAGCTAAGGTAACATACAAATGCTTTAAAAAGGCAAGCATAGTGTTATTGGTCATTAAGTGCTTTATCAAAAACTGTCCTGCGGTTAATGAATTGGCAAACGTTGCATGACCACATGCCCATTTGATTCAGATGATCGTCATGTAAAGTAGATAGGCAGTTTTTCTCGGCCAGTGTCAAAGGCTCCGTGATGAGCCATATATTATTTAATAAGTCGTGTATTTGTTGAAATGTTAAACACAGACTCCAGTTTACTTCGTAAATCTCCTTCTCTTCATTGAACCTATTAGACACGATTTCTAACGTTTTGTAGTTGCTGGAAATCGTAAATTCATATCCTCTGCCTAAGTGTTGCCAGTGGTCTAAACCATATGTATATAGGGCTTGTTGTTCATATTTTGAAGAATTTCTGTTGTCCTTTGAAAATATACAACCGTTCTCTTGACAGCATTCTATGAAATAGTCAAATTCCTGTCTTGTTATCCTTCCAGCACATGGATCAGATGATTGCGGTTCAAATGGTACTTGTAGTGATCCATCATGTTTCGACTGTACATCAAGCACATCATACGTTTTCATAAATACATGGTCCACTGTTGGGAAGAGAATTGTTTGTTGACGATGCGGTCCTACGGCTAACTTTAACATTCTTGGAAGGCCAGTTTCTAATGGTTTAACTATGGTTCCCCCGACTTTACTGACATCTTGAGGTTTCAAATGAAAAATTTCCATAATCTTTTTAAAATATCTCCTGTAGTTAAGCCTGTTCTTTAAAGGTGTAAATATAGTATCCTTACAAACGTCCAGTATATGAATATCTTATCCGGTGATCCTGAAATAATAACTCATATAAACAATTTGTTGTTTAGGTAAATACTACTATGTAAACTTTGTATTTGTACTGATGAGTATTATATAAACCTTATAAAATTGCTCAGCAACAGGTTATCACTAATTAATCATTAACGGGCTGGAGTCACGTGACATCATTTTACCAATCAGATTGCAGCGGGAAATTTAACCAATCAGACCATGCGTAACTATGTCATGGTTGCTATGTCACTATATCATACTATGTCACTATGTCATTGTTATATAAATGTTCACTCTTCACTACTGAGGGATGTATCAATTGACTCCTCTGTTAGGGGGATATATAATATCCAATTAGTCTTAAATCGCTTATTCAATTTGCGCTCTTGACGAAATGTCAATTTTCCGACCAGTCGTACATCACACTTCTACATGCCAGTCATTTGCAATTTTGTGAGATGTTAAGGTATATATTTTTGAGTATGCTCTGTAATGGATTTAATGAATGATGTTCCCGTTCGTGATATATTTTATATCTAATTCGTCTTAAATCTATGATGCAGTTTGTGCTCTGGAGGAAATGTCAATTTTCAGACCAGTCGTATGTAACGCTGGTGGCAGCATGATATTTGTTATTTAGTGAGATGTTTTAAGATACATTTTTACATTTGTCTTACCGAGGACTTGTTGATTGGTCATTCTATTCGTGAGATATTGAGTATCTGGTTTGTCATACAAGTCTGATTTACTTTGGGCTATGTACGGAATGTCAATTTTCGGACCAGCTGTACATCGCACTGGTACCAGCGACTAGTTTGATATATTGTGAGACGTTTATTTATATATTTTTACGTTTGCCAAAGGAGGGGTGTATCGATTGACTTCTCTGTTAGGGAGATATATTATATCCAATTCGTCTTAAATCGCTTATGCAATTTGCGCTCTTGACGAAATGTCAATTTTCCGACCAGTCGTACGTCACCCTGCTACATGCCAGTCCTTTGCAATTTTGTGAGACGTTTGAGTATATATTTTGGAGTATGCTCTTGAATGGATTTAATGAATGATGTTCCCGTTCATGATATATTTAATATCTAATTCGTCTTAAATCTATGATGCAGTTTGTGCTCTGGAGGAAATAACAATTTTCGGACCAGTCGTACGTAACGCTGGTGACAGCATGATATTTGTTATTTAGTGAGATGTTTTGGGATACATTTTTACATTTGCCCTACCGAGGACTTGTTGATTGGTCATTCTATTCGTGAGATATTGAGTATCTAATTTGTCATACAAGTCTGATTTACTTTGGGCCATGTACGGAATGTCAATTTTCGGACCAGCTGTACATCGCAGTGGTTGGAGCGACTAGTTTGATATATTGTGAGACGTTTATGTATATATTTTTACGTTTGCCAAAGGAGGGATGTATCGATTGACTTCTCTGTTAGGGGGGATATATAATATCCAGTTCGTCTTAAATCGCTTATGCAATTCGCGCTCTTGACGAAATGTCAATTTTCCGACCAGTCGTACGTCACACTGCAACATGCCAGTCCTTAGCAATTTTGTGAGACGTTTAAGTATATATTTTGGAGTATGCTCTTGAATGGATTTAATGAATGATGTTCCCGTTCGTGATATATTTTATATCTAATTCGTCTTAAATCTATGATGCAGTTTGTGCTCTGGAGGAAATGTCAATTTTCGGACCAGTCGTACGTAACGCTGGTGGCAGCATGATATTTGTTATTTAGTGAGATGTTTCAGGATACATTTTTACATTTGCCCTACCGAGGACTTGTTGATTGGTCATTCTATTCGTGAGATATTGAGTATCTTATTTGTCATACAAGTCTGATTTACTTTGGGCCATGTACGGAATGTCAATTTTCGGACCAGCTGTATATTGCACTGGTAGCAGCGACTAATTTGATATATTGTGAGACGTTTATGTATATATTTTTACGTTTGCCAAAGGGGGGATGTATCGATTGACTTCTCTGTTAGGGGGATATATAATATCCAATTCGTCTTAAATCGCTTATGCAATTTGCGCTCTTGACGAAATGTCAATTTTCCGACCAGTCGTACATCACACTTTTATATGCCAGTCCTTTGCAATTTAGTGAGACGTTTAGGTATATATTTTTGAGTATGCTCTGTAATGGATTAAATGAATGATGTTCCCGTTCGTGATATATTTTACATCTAATTCGTCTTAAATCTATGAAGCAGTTTGTGCTCTGGAGGAAATGTCAATTTTCGGACCAGTCGTACGTAACGCTGGTGGCAGCATGATATTTGTTATTTAGTGAGGTATTTCAGGATACATTTTTACATTAGCCCTACCGAGGACTTGTTGATTGGTCTTTCTATTCGTGAGATATTGAGTATCTGGTTTGTCATACAAGTCTGATTTACTTTGAGCTATGTACGGAATGTCAGTTTTCGGACCAGCTGTACATTGCACTGGTAGCAACTTCTAGTTTGATATATTGTGAGTCGTTTATGTATATATTTTTACGTTTGCCAAAGGAGGGATGTATCGATTGACTTCTCTGTTAGGGGGATATATAATATCCAATTCGTCTTAAGTCGCTTATGCAATTCGCGCTCTTGACGAAATGTCAATTTTCCCACCAGTCGTACGTCACATTGCTACATGCCAGTCCTTTGCAATTTTGTGAGATGTTTAAGTATATATTTTGAAGTATGCTCTTGAATGGATTTAATGAATGATGTTACTGTTCGTGATATATTTTATATCTAATTCGTCTGAAATCTTTGATGCAGTTTGTGCTCTGGAGAAATGTCAATTTTCGGACCAGTCGTACGTAACGCTGGTGGCAGCATGATATTTGTTATTTAGTGAGATGTTTCAGGATACATTTTTACATTTGCCCTACCGAGGACTTATGGATTGGTCATTCTATTCGTGAGATATTGAGTATCTAATTTATCATACAAGTCTGATTTACTTTAGGCTATGTTCGGAATGTCAATTTTCGGACCAGCTGTACATCGCACTGGTAGCAGCGACTAATTTGATATATAATGAGACGTTTAGGTATATATTTTTACGTTTGCCAAAGGAGGGATGTATCGATTGACTTCTCTGTTAGGAGGATATATAATATCCAATTCGTCTTAAATCGCTTATGCAATTTGCGCTCTTGACGAAATGTCAATTTTCCGACCAGTCGTACATCACACTTCTACATGCCAGTCCTTTGCAATTTTGTGAGACGTTAAGGTATATATTTTTGAGTATGCTCTGTAATGGATTTAATGAATGATGTTCCCGTTCGTGATATATTTTATGTCTAAGTCGTCTTAAATCTATGATGCAGTTTGTGCTCTGGAGGAAATGTCAATTTTCGGACCAGTCGTACGTAACGCTGGTGGCAGCATGATATTTGTTATTTAATGAGATGTTTCAAGATACATTTTAACATTTGTCCTACCGAGGACTTGTTGATTGGTCATTCTATTCGTGAGATATTGAGTATCTGGTTTGTCATACAAGTCTGATTTACTTTGAGCTATGTACGGAATGTCAATTTTCGGACCAGCTGTACATCGCACTGGCAGCAGCGACTAGTTTGATATATTGTGAGACGTTTATGTATATTTTTACGTTTGCCAAAGGAGGGATGTATCGATTGACTTCTCTGTTAGGGAGATATATAATATCCAATTCGTCTTAAATCGCTTATGCAATTTGCGCTATTGACGAAATGTCAATTGTCCGACCAGTCGTACGTCACACTGATGCATGCCAGTCCTTTGCAATTTTGTGAGACGTTCGTTTAAGTATATATTTAGGAGTATGCTCTTCAAAGGATTTAATGAATGATGTTCCCGTTCGTGACATGTTTTATATCTAATTCGTCTTAAATCTATGATGCAGTTTGTGCTCTGGAGGAAATGTCAATTTTCGGACCAGTCGTACGTAACGCTGGTGGCAGCATGATATTTGTTATTTAGTGAGATGTTTCAAGATACATTTTTACATTTGCACTACCGAGGACTTGTTGATTGGTCATTCTATTCGTGAGATATTGAGTATCTGGTTTGTCATACAAGTCTGATTTACTTTGGGCTATGTACGGAATGTCAATTTTCGGACCAGCTGTACATCGCACTGGTAGTAGCGACTAGTTTGATATATTGTGAGTCGTTTATGTATATATTTTTACGTTTGCCAAAGGAGGGATGTATCGATTGACTTCTCTGTTAGGGAGATATATAATATCCAATTCGTCTTAAATCGCTTATGCAATTTGCGCTCTTGACGAAATGTCAATTTTTCCACCAGTCGTACGTCACACTGCTACATGCCAGTCCTTTGCAATTTTGTGAGACGTTTAAGTATATATTTTGGAGTATGCTCTTGAATGGATGTAATGAATTATGATGTTCCCGTTCGTGATATATTTTATATCTAATTTGTCTTGAATCTATGATGCAGTTTGTGCTCTGGAGGAAATGTCAATTTTCGGACCACTCGTACGTAACGCTGGTGGCAGCATGATATTTGTTATTTAGTAAGATGTTTCAGGATACATTTTACCATTTGCCCTACCGAGGACTTGTTGATTGGTCTTTCTATTCGTGAGATATTGAGTATCTAATTTGTCATACAAGTCTGATTTACTTTGGGCTATGTAAGGAATGTCAATTTTCGGAGCAGCTGTACATCGCACTGGTAGGAGCGACTAGCTTGATATATTTTGAGACGTTTATGTATATATTTTTATGTTTGCCAAAGGAGGGATGTAACGATTGACTTCTCTGTTAGGGGGATATATAATATCCAATTCGTCTTAAATCGCTTATGCAATTTGCGCTCTTGACGAAATGTCAATTTTCCGACCAGTCGTACGTCACACTGCTACATGCCAGTCCTTTGCAATTTTGTGAGACGTTTAAGTATATATTGTGGAGTATGCTCTGGAATGGATTTAATGAATGATGTCCCCATTCGTGATATATTTTATATCTAATTCGTCTTAAATCTATGAAGCAGTTTGTGCTCTGGAGGAAATGTCAATTTTCGGACCAGTCTTACGTAACGCTGGTGGCAGCATGATATTTGTTATTTAGAGATATATTTAAGCATACATTTT